CCCCCCCCCCCCCCTAAATATTGACTTAATGACTGGTACATTAAATTTTTGCTAGACAAATTTGGCGATTTAGGAGGTCGCTTATATATTTTGCGACATTTAAATTTCGTGATTTTACACCAGAATTTTCTATTCATTTTAATTTTAAATTCATATCTAATTTCACGATTCCTTGAAATCAATCTGGTATAATTTGTTTTCAAATATATAATGACATTTCATGAACAAGTAATGCTACCAACAACAAAAAATTTAAAAAATTGGCGTTAGTTCCTTGGTTTTTACTTGAGTATGATAAACTGGAGACACTTGTGCTTCGTCCTCAACAATATCATCTTTTGTCCCTATTTCTTAATTGCCATTCATTCTTTAATGATTCTTTACTTTTTTTATGGTTCGCGTTAATTTCATGTAATAAAAAGTTTTTTCTTCTGTTCATGCTGCTGTGAGCCCACGGTCTAAATTATTTTAAGCCAGCAATACGGCTGCAGTCATTCGCATGCGCAGACAATTTTGGTCTGTCAGCAATCTCGTACCCAGAGCCTGCGTTTCTTCTGGCCTGCGGCGAAGAACGAGGGATCTGGGCAGCAGGGGGAATTTTTTTCTGCGCATGCGCAATTTTCGAAAAGTGATATATAACCAATCAAAATAATCAAAGTAAATATTAAATCAAAGTAAATATTAAATCAAAGAAAAAACAAACAAACAAAGTAAAGATCAAAGTAAAGATCATAGTAAAAATTTGAAATCGGGAAAATATTTTTTAATTTTTGGCAAGTCTTCCAACACATGCGCTTTTATACCGGAAGTCCAAGAAACCCTGGTCTCAAAAAATGGATTATGCCAGAGCCCTCGTTCTTCGCCGCAGACCAGAAGGAACGCAGGCTCTGGGTACGAGATTGAGAGTATATATAGACCAAATGCAAAACTCGAACCGATGTGAGGCTTAAGCTGTGAACAAAGGGATCTGGCGTGATTCAAAAGTCACGAATCACGACAGATCCCTTTGTTCACAACTTATATGTAAGCCTCACATCGATGCAAGTTTTGCATTTGGTCCATTTTTTCGAATTTGTCGAAGTAAAGCGTTTTTAAGTTTCCCTGAAGTAAAGTATCATAATTCCAGTTATTTATAACTTTGACCTTCAATATAAAATAAATTTTACAGTAGTCACGCTAGTGACATGTTTTTCCGCGTGGACCGGAGGAAAAGCCGTGCGTCATCAAAATAAATTCACAGTGCAAACAAACAAACCTAAAAAATAAGAACGACAAATAAGAAAGAAAGCCAGGATAAAATTGAAAGAGAACAGAGCAGAAAATGAGAGAAGGAAAAAAAAGAAAGAAAGGAAAATGATGGTAATGATAATGCTTGTTGATGATAACATACTCGGTCCTGTTAATAAAGTCAGCATTTATAACCGATTGTGAATTAAAATTGGATACTCGGAGTACTACAAGCAATATCACTAGCTAAAGGCCGGTAATTTAATCAGTAAACTTTAGACTACTTTGACGTCTTATTGCAATGATTGAAATTATATTTTCTATTTGATAATTTAGAGGGCCTTACACAGTAAAGCCACGTGTAGACTTTTTGCTGGTTAGAGAGCTTTTGAAGAATTCTCAGAAAACACGAAAGAATTACCTCATATTTTTAAGAACAAATAAAGTCGTTCTAAATATGTAAAAATGTGTAATCCAATAATGTCTTTATTCACATTAAAACTCAGTCAAAATTTCCGACTGCATTAATGTTAAATATCTAAAGGAAAAATATAATCAGTAACCAAATTTCCATTTTAAATCCAAAGCCGAATTGGTCTCATTATTGCTATAATATTATTTAACTACAAAATTTTCAGTAGATTTCGAAAATATATGAGTTAGCAAACAGGAACTGCGCGGTCATTCCGAGACCAAATTTACGATGACTTAACGCAAGGAAGGCACGTGCGAATAACGTCACGCGCAAAGATGGCCTTTTCATTCAAACCCTTGCTTTCAATCCTCATGATGAGTAAAAATGCTGCCTTCTAAGTCTACAGAAACTAAGGTAAGTCCGTTATGAATACGGATGACTTTTTCTTGTATAAAAAAAAAAGTGAAAAAAGATTGAAAAGAAGTTACATAGAGTTCAGTTCCATTTTATCGGCATTTCATAGTTATTCATAAACATATCCGGAATCAACGAATTGACTYGTTGTAGGAAATTCGCAATAATCTTCACAGTGAAGGTTTTCCCTTTCGGGAAAACCCCGATTTTAAAGCCTATATTTTGGTTTAAGAGGCCAGAGCCGTAGTTTTTCGTACCGAAAGCTGTGATAGTTAGCTATAGCCGATCGGTGTTTTTCAGTTTCACAAAATGATTTTTATGAAGCGGAAAGTCGGCCTCGAAAGGTCACAAAAACCTCTACAATCCACTTTTTTAACGTAAAAAACTGAACAAAAGCAAAAATGTATTAACTAGACAAATTTCTCTATAATATTGAGGCAACTAAACCTTTTGAATTAGTTAATTAATCGTAATTCCGAAGATTTACTGTCGATTATCAATCAAAAAACGAAGTCAAATTTATAAACTAAATATTTGAAGAGAAAAAATACTTAGGATAACTGAAGCTTGAGACACTGGGTTAGCTTCACCAACCGGAAGTGACAAACCGGAAGTGATAAACCGGAAGTGGGGTTGAATGCAATGAATCGTCATAATTTAACAATGCAAGCTTAAACATGCCCTAATGATTATGCATTTTGCTTGTTTTCGGTTTTAGAAGATTTATTTCATTCAAGTTTATGAAAGGAAATTATTCCTGGATTTTTTTAACGAAGAAACTTTAATTTTTCGTCGCAACTCTGTGATGGAGGTAAGGTCAAAAGAAAATTCTTCGATTTTTTATCACTAACTTACTATCCGAACCAACCTGATATGCTATCAAGGTAAATCTAAGAAACTTTCAAGTCAAAATTGCATGTCGTAAGCAATTAAAATTTACATCAATTCAAAAGAGACCTGCGACGAAAAAAAATTTGTCATATTATCAAGAAAAGCGTCATACCTTTAGGTGTTTTTTTTTTTTTTTTTTGAGCAGGTTTGAACGGTAATACGAGATTGAAGGGTGTGATGATTCGACCATTTTAACGTACCTTTTAGCTGAAACTCTAGAACTTTTCTTTGAGTTTGTCTGAACTGGATAGATAAAATGATTGTCAATAATGAAAATTTTTGACAAGTCGAAAGACTTTGTTTTGATCAGGACATCCGAGAATGGCCATTTTTATTTCAGCTTATCTTCATTTACAGTGTGATACTTCACACCAATGGAAAGTTCATTTAATATCCCGAGGGAGGGGCGTGTGGGGATAAGGATTTTTCCCAAAAAAATCTTTTTTTAAAAGGAATTAATTTAATTTTCGAAGCCCTTCCCCCCCCACCCACCAAAACAACCCATGATTTTCAAATTGAAATTGAACGCCCCCCTTGTATGCATGACAAATTTCAAAAACCCCCTTCCATGTCCCAAAAAATTTCGATGCCCCACATAAACCCCCACCCCCCTTCCCCTAAGGAGTCAGAGTACGAGTGGAATGAAAAATTCCTTTCATTCATCCTGATAGATAACTCTAGTAGATAAATTTTAAAAATGCTTTGCTTAAAGTGCTACAACTCTGACGAAAATCGCTCAAACTTGGATTCAGCTGAAACTTCCAATAATCACTGTATGAAGTGTTTTCTCGATATTCAGGACGAAA